TCTGTTGGCGTCAACTGTGCACCTGTAATACGAGGTCTGGCAATAGAGTTCCCGGACTGATTTTTTTGTGAGTCTGTCAATATAACAAATATTATTTTCATTCCATGGACTGATAGATTAGACTGTTGGGCAGTGCTGTGTCAGTTCTCATCTGACTAGCACCTTGAATGAGAGTTTGGCTGGCAATGTAGCAACGCAGAGTGTAAGGCGTCTGTCATATTCCCAGAATGAAGCAATGCTTCATCACATTTTGTCTCGAACCGGGGAATACAGCTGCAGTAATCCATCAAATGTTGCAGAAGTGTGTTGAAAAGTTCCTTGTTATGCTCCAATAATTTAAAATAACCTTCAAGGTCTTTAGCAAGTAGTCAAGATGCTCAGATCCACCTCAACCCCAACCATCACCAATCATTCACCCAAGGGATGGCTGAACCAATCATTATTTTCAATGTCATTTCTACTGGCTGAAAGCCGTGAAAACTATTCAAGATTCTTGGAGTATGACAAGACAATTCTTGCAAAATTTGATGGATTACTGCAGCTGTATTCCCCGGTTCGAGACAAAATGTGATGAAGCATTGCTTCATTCTGGGAATATGACAGACGCCTTACACTCTGCGTTGCTACATTGCCAGCCAAACTCTCATTCGAGGTGCTAGTCAGATGAGAACTGACACAGCACTGCCCAACAGTCTAATCTATCAGTCCATGGAATGAAAATAATGTTTGTGATATTGACAGACTCACAAAAAAATCAGTCCGGGAACTCTATTGCCAGACCTCGTATTACAGGTGCACAGTTGACGCCAACAGAAAATAGATGAACAAATAATTAAAAAACCAAAACGATCTCTCTGTGTTCAAACTACGAAGATCGGTTTGAAACAGTCTCGCATGTTGTGTTCCAGTCGGAACGCTTTTTCTCAGCGTTCAGCTGATTTACGCAGAAAAATCACATCGTGCTAATACTTTTGAGCGCTACTGTATATATAGACCTACTCTCAGTTAATGCTCACAGAAATGCATTCTAAAAGGAATGGCTAGGTTCTCTCAGTAGCCGATAGGCTGATTTAATGTCCCATATGAGACATTAAATTATCCCTTTTGTTAGGGGTGATTCCTTTGTAGCAATTTATGCTAATAGGCCATTTTGTATCAATTGCTTGAGTCCAATGATTTTCATCCCTTTCAGCTCCTAAGGGGCATTTCATTTCCTTACAAAAAAAAAGTCCTTGACAGCTAAAACTAAGAAGAATCAGGCCTAACTCATCCAACAGCTGGCACTCAACAAGAGCTTTTATGTTTAACAGCTCTCTAACCTAAATGACTTAAGATTGAACCCTATGAGTTTAACCTTCTAAGACCTGGGTGACATCCATGTGCCAAATCTTTTGGGCTTTATTTTTTCAGAGGAGGTTTGCTGCACCCATTCACCCATAGCTAACATTCCCCATACAGCAGATTACATGAGCTTTGTCTCTTTTTGACTATCAACATAGAAATTGAATTATAAATTATTTTCTTGGGATTTTTCTACAAAAATATTTAAAAAATGACTGAAGAAGTTTGTGAATATTACACTTTCATATTTCCTCCATCAGAAGCAGAAAACTAGGTACTTGTGAAGCAAAGCAGTTAGCCAAAAATATTGGGATTTTGGCCCCAAAACCAAAATTCATGAAATACATATACACTCACTGCCCAAAAAAGCAACACCAAAGAGTCACGCAATCCATATGAAATTTGAAACACAAGCTTAAAGCAGTGTGTTATGAAACCAATTTGAGTACCAAGGACATGGGATTGAAAATTCACCAAAAAAAACTTGCCAAATGCACAAGAAATGAAGGGCAGGGGCAAAGGCACTGATAACATTAGTTTCCTTTTCTTTTCCCATCAAGCCCTGTCAGTATTGGGCTATTAAATGTCTAACTGCAAGATGAAATCTCCAAAAGCAATTTCAACTACTTCTTCAAGCATTTGATTGATATGAGCACACACACACATCAACCTGATGCAAGTTAAGCATCCCAAGTCAGATCACACATGCATACTTATTAAATGAATAGAGCATGTAAACTTCAGATATTCTGATTCAGTTTTTGTAGACACTTTTACTCCTGCTCTTGGATTTATTGGTGTAAATTGTGCTCCCTCTTGATATGAAAGAGCATCAGGATCCTGATTAACCCTTTCACAGTCCAGTTTTTCCTAAACCTACTTGTGGCACAACTGATATTTTATGGCATATGCATGTAATGGTTAATAAGGATATGAGGGCCCAATCAATGCAAGGTCAGAGATCCATCTGATCCCAACATAGAAGTCCTTCTCCCTTCCACCAAGACGACTTCTGAGTGTTATGCAGTGGGATGTGTGACTTCACAAGGCAATGAAGCAAGGGTGAATGGAAGGGACTGCAGTGTGCAGAGTATACATAAGAAAGGTCCATAACTTACCCCAAGTACACACCCCCCAGGTAGGACTGTGTGCACACAAGATGTACAATACCCCAGCCCCCCCCCACACACTTAATAGTCTCATGGAAACTCATGATCTGTCCATAAACAACAGGCTGGAAAAGGTTGCAAAAGTTTCTGTAAGCTTTGACAGATCATTTGGCTAAATAAACAATGTAGTGGGTACGAGTGGAAAGGATACACTTCTGAAGAAAAAGACTATGATGTCCAAATCTACATAATTGCTCTGAAATGTCTAACCAGCAGCTGCTGCTATGCTTCTGTCCCATTGTGTGCTCTTATCAATTCATGCTGTAGGTGAAAATGCCACTCTTTTCCAAAACAATAATGTTGCTAAGACTGACTACACATCATTTTTCACCAAGAATTGAGAATAGACTAATTGAAGTGAGAATTAGACTAGCTTCTGATTCCCTCAAATGGGAATGCTCCACAAGGAGTGTCTCTACAATGTGGCAGACAAGAAGGAAATGTATCAACTCAGAGTAAAAGGGAACAAGCTATCTCCCCACAAGTTTTGCTTGATGTCTCTAAAATATAATCCTAAGTGATACTTCATGAAATGCTCAAGAGAATGCATCAAAATTATCAACTGTTCACATCCATCTGCTTACTCCTCAAAGAGCTATGTTTTTAACTTGTTCTTCCCAAGGGAAAACAAGGCTCTTCCCAAGCTATATGCAGCAATGAATTTCATGATAACTCCAAGAAAAGTAAAAAAGTAGCAATACTATCTAACAGCATTGACAGCTCCAATTAAAAAATGCAGCATGGACCCCAAAACAGTAGGTATAGGAATAAATGAATATGCATCAAATGAAAAGCACATTATTACAGTGTGTCTTGAAAAAATAGTTAGCACTTCAATATTGATCTTGTCTTGTGTTATATAGAACTTTAAAAGAAAATTTTTTGGAGTCAGTTAAAAAGAGAAGAGATTAAGCTTTCTTTTGCTGAAAACCACATGAAAATCAATCAGTTCTGAAGCGAGAATATTAAAAAGGGGACTATAATTCACCATCATTTAAGGACACGAAGGTGTCCTCCTTGATGCCAGCTCACCTTCGGGCACTTAAAAAAGATTTTCTACAACTGACTGAACTGTTTCTGCTCTGACCCTTGCAACCTCTGTGGAGATTCTCTATTTAAGTTCATGGAGAGATTGAGATCTCTACTTGTCAGTAGATCTGATTCTTTAAGTGATCCCACAACAATAAATCTGAAGAAAGATCAAAACTACAACTAGGCCATGGGAAATACATCCTTCTTGATATCACATTTTCCCAAAGAATATCGTTAAGAGATCCAGCAAAATGTGTGATTGGTTATAAGTTGCACTGTCCTGCTAGAACCGCATCTGCTCTGCATATGTGAAAATCAACATTTCTGGCAAAAACGTATGCAAGGCAAAAAAAAAAGCTTTTCATATTTCAGCAAATATTTCTTCCATGACTTGCTTCTGAGTTCATGGATCTTTCGGCAATCTTCAAAAATGGAAAGCAAAATCTCTGCTCATTTTAAACTACCACAAACAATTTTATTTTAAATTTAATATAATAGAAGAAAAATAAAATCTTGCAGGATTAAATTTTTTTTAGACACCTTGTACTTCTGGGGAATGTTAACCCTTTCGTGCATGAATTTTAAAGCAAAATAAAAATATGCATTTTTTATCATTTAACATTTAAGGAAGTACTCTGTTGCAGAGTAGGATAAATATTTTCTCCCGCAAACCTGAGGCAACAAATCAGAATTTCCCAGGAAGGATATGCAAGTGGAGTAAGCAGGTTGGGCAGAACCCGCCCACCCACACATTTCCATTCCCACGAACCTCATTCAAAGGTTCGCAAGGGTTTTCCTAGCCTGCTCTGCTGTAGTAGTAGAATGTTCCACCACTAGAAAGCAACACTGAACAGATTATGTGCCCTTGAGTTGACTGCATGCACCAAAAGTTTCAGGGTACATGTACCATGGCTGAAAACCCATCATCATCGGCAAACATTTTGCTATCCACTACAGTGTACACCATGTATGAAAGGGTTAAAGCAGAAGTTCAAAGATAGGATTAACACTTAGAATGAACATGAGGACACATGCTCTGAAAATTTTCAGAAGCTACTCAGAGACCAGGCATAGTGTTATGCCTAGTCATGTTGCTGGGAAAATGAGAATATTGTTGAAAGCAATTATTGGTAAAGCCAAATTTATTGGCAAGACAGGATTTTTTAAATATAATTTTCTGTTTAAAAAATTCCATAACTTTTCTGATACGATGGAAAGTTGTGGATTGGAATTTAGCACAGATTTAATGCAGTATCAAATATGGACATGTTAGTTTCGATTGAAAATTCTAAGATAATACCATAATATATGTTACACTGAGGATAAAAGGCTACGCATGAAGATGTCTGGAATAGCACATGTGACTGTATAGCTGCATATTCACTTGGTTGCCTCCATGTCTTGTCTCTGATGTAACAAGCCCCCACTTCTCCCTCCAACACTGAGCCCAGAAAAATCTTAGTTCTTTCTTGACTTGTTTAAAACATTGATACTGACCTCCTGCTGCTGGCGGAGATATGGAGTGAGTGTGCGAGCAACATCAAGAAGTATGGCACAGGGGACAGCTGAGTCAGTGGCCCCAATGAAGTTGCTATGACGGTTCTGATAGAGAGAATCATAGTGGCAGGCCAATATCAGGCGACGAGAAGCTCTCGGGTCCCAAGTTGCAATGATGTTGGAAAATGGGACCTGTCCATTCATGTCTTCATCCACATATGGAATTTTGCTTGTGAAGTCATCAGTCTCAACTGTCCACTCATATGATTCCAAGGTGTCTATGATGTGCTAAGACCAAAACACACCACCATTTAGGTACATATAAAAACTTCTTCAGGTCAAACTTCATTTCCTTCCCAAGATGAGAACTGAGATAATGAGAGTCATGCACTGGCAACAAATAGGATAGATCACCTTACACAAGTTCCAGGTCAGAATTACCCATTATGCCTGGACCTTAATATAACTGAAGGATATGGCCTTCTCAATATGTAACCAGATCTTTCTCAGAATCTTATTTGGATTGATTGCTATTAAGGTCCTCAAGGTGTCTAATTAGATAAGACATGAGGATCATTCCATTCAAACTCAACCAATATTAATATAAAAGTCACCCAGCCATATCAGATTCATGAGAAAAATTCTCAGCAAATGCAGACAATGTAACAACCTCATAAAAAAAACTAATCACATCCATTGGATCTGCATTTAACAAGATGTCACCGCCCCAACATTGCAGGGAAAACAGAAAAACCAAGTGTATGGCAAAATTTCAATATCAGGAACCGTCCATCATACAGAGGTGTGAATAACTTCAACTGGAGCTCTTCAATAGGTGAACAATTCATTCCATATATCCTTTTAGTTGGAATGAGATTTCAGCATCATAGTTGAGTTTGAAAGTGAGAAAATTAGGCATATTAGACCCCTAAATAACCTTATGTGGGGAGAGAAAAGACAAGTCTCTTGTTACAGTAAGTTGTATTACACTTTCATGTGCAACAATAAAATAAGTTATTTGCTTGCCTTTTGATCTCATGGAGAGAAATCCACCTTAAAATTTGAATTTTCTCATTTTCTCAAACTCAACTATGATGCAGAAATCTCATTCCAACTCAAAGAATGTATGGAGCAAATTCTTCACTTATTGAATAGCTCCATTTGAAGCTACCTACCTCCATAAAATGAATAGTTCCCAAGTTCCCATACATGAGGTTTTTCTGTTATCCCCCAAAGTTCACAGGGTAATATCTTAATAAATGCAGATCCAATGGTAGTGATCCTTTTTCCTTTTTACTGGGTTGTTAGATCGACTGTAATCACTGAGAATTTTTATAGAAAAATCTTGTATGGACAAACACTGCCTGGTTGAGTTAATATGGAATTTCACCTTTGAATGTCAGAAGTATATCAGTCTTGTTGGCAAAGCTCAAAAAGGGCTACTTTAGAACCTAGCAAAACACTATTCACTTTCTTTATATTTACATATCTTGGCCCTTCCAATGATTATTTCCCAAGACTTGAAAGCATACCAGAGGCCTATAGAGAATAGCAAATAAGCTACACATCCTATTGTTTTGATTTGTAGAGGGTGACTCCTAAAGCCAAAAAGTCAATTCCTGAGAAAAACATTGGAGTGCAATGTATAAAGATAATGGATTTTAGTGGGGGGGGAGGGGGGGGTTATTGAATACTGTGGAAAACTGAATATTTTGATTTGAAAATATGTCAATTTTGCCCATTTTTCCATCACTACTACATTTCACTAGTTTTCAGCAACCTGCAGAAGAAAAGTTATTGTCAAAAATAACATTCACATTAGGCTCAACATTAGAGAGAATTGTGAGGCTAGGCATTGGGAAAAAAATTTAATCTGGAGGCAGGTAAATTTGATATGCTCAGAGGGTGGAGACATGGGCTATGGGGGAGACTACTGACTCTTATGGCAATAGCTTGTAGAACCTAATTGCAACAGAGAGGTTGTGATTGACATGGCCTGCTCAATGATGATGCTTATAATAAAAAAAATGAAGAAAATCTACACTTTTCATGTCAACTGGACAAACCTGGGTGACTTTCTCAAGAAGCAACTATTAATATCTGTTGCTCATGAAGCTCTGATTTGTATAGAGAAACAGTTACAAGATTACTAATAGAACAGGACTCTCCAAAAAATAGAAAATTACCAAACTTATACAGATTCTAAAATGTAGAATATTGTTAAAGGATCATTTTGTTCCTACTTAAACTAACCTTTCGGACCAGGGCATGATTGGTGGTGCCAGGCACTCTCCTTATCATAATGGGATGAAGAAGAGACAGGAAGGCTTCATTATTATTCAGAGAAGCCAAGTATTGTGTCTTGTCATCTGCCAGCTTTTGGACATTCCCTGCATAGGCATCCTAGAGCAAGCATCCCATAAATTGTAAGAATTTCCTTTGAAAATCAAATTATGCAAGGACCCTATTCCCAGTCTGAATGCACAGTTAATGAAATGCTCACATGCTCTCTGTTGAGAGGACAAGTAGCTGGGTTTTGAGCTCTGCAGACTCCAAGGAGAAGATTGATGATCATAAGGATGGAACGGGATAGAGACATGATGAGTCACTGCACCAGATTCACCTTGGCTTTCAACTGCTGAGAATTACCCCAAATGCATGAGAACAAGTCTGAAAGTATTAGGCCTACCTACACCAACATCAAATCTGTTTAAATTGGCTTAGTAGTGAATAAATGTGTACCACCTCTTACCATTGGGCATGTTTTTTCTATCATGCACAAAAAGAGGTGAGAGGATATCATGGGAGAAACATGACATCAAGCCAATGAAGTCCTGTTAAATGTTACATGAATACATTTGCAAATAATTATAACTTTAAAGAAATTTCATTATTTGTAAGTGAATCCATACTACCCTTAACATGAGATTCACAGGCCTACAATGATTTACAAATGAATCACACCAGCTTTAACATGTACAACATATAGCTAATATCACTGATATCATGGGAGATATACCCTAATATCCCTGGATGCACCATAGCCTAAAAGGCTGTCATTTGGCCAGCTGCCTCAGCCCTAATTAAAGGGACAAGCTGAAAATCAACCAACTCATAATATCACCTCAGTTGGTGAGATCTACATTCTATAGAAGAGAGCTTGACCTCTAAGTTGTGTCCAAGCTAGCTTTCTGAAATGAAAAAGGATGTCTACGGGTAGGCCTAAAAGTCATAAAAGCTGTTGAATTTTCTAGAGTGATAACTTTCTTCATGTTACAAGTGCCACGTATATTATTTTCAGCAATTTCAAGCAGAGTTCCTACTAAGATGTAGGATTTCACCAAAGTCATATTGTCAGGGCAGTGGGTTCCCTCAAAGCAGTGAGCAAGGAATAGAGCTCTTAATGGGTGATTTCTAAAGTTGATTTCAATGCAGATGCCTCCAGGCCAAAAAGAATTTCCCTGCTTTCCAATGAGGCATCTTAAATTAGTTAAAATGCCTATATCCTATCCTAACAATGCAAGAAGTTTTTAAATGATAATGATATCCTTCAATAACAGAGCTGTCTAGTTTTGTGCTGATAGCTTCAAATCTTCCCACAAGGCAAAGGAAGCATCTTCCTCTATCTTTAAAGACATGACTGTGTTCGGTAGGCTGCCAGAAGCTTCTTCACGTTAGGGTGAAGTTAGCGGTCATGATTCCCAGCTAGGCCAATAGCACTACCAATATGAAATTGCATAAGTGGTGGGAATTAAATTGCCAGGCATAGTAATGTCTATTACATGGGAGAAACCACCTCTCAAGGCTTTCACGCACCACAGCAAAAAATGGAAATGTCAAAGATGGGTCGAATCCACTTGCAAATCACTTTAAAAGCAGAAATATGCCTGATCCTAACGTCGGTCACCACCATTAGCACGCAATCAATAGGCCTAGGTTAGATAAGGCTAGGGCCTAAGCCAAACTTTAGGTTATGGGGCTTACTAGCTCGGACGGCTCCAAGTCTTCGAGTTTCAGAGTAAAAAGGGCATGTATGCAAAAGAACTCTCAACGATGATATTCAAGATTCGCAAGGCTTGAAATGGTTGAGCAGCGAAAGTAAAAGTAGTAAGTGGCCGCCATACCGAATTCGAAACAGCACGTGGCTGTTTCTGCAGCCTCTGCACTCACCGAAGGAGTCACGTGCCAAGTGGGAAAAGACCCATGAAACCCATGATAGTAGGGCCGCCCAGAGGTTTCCAGGGGCCCGGGCCAAAACTAAACCGGAGATCCCTTGGGGGCCCCCCTTGGGACCCCTTGATACGTGGGGCCCCGGGCAGATTGCCCCAATGCCCCCCCCCCCCGGGCGGTCTTGCATGATAGTACTGTATCCCAGAGTTCCCGTGCCTCCCACTTTTTCCATCCACGCTACGCTTATGGTAGGGGATGAGCTATCCCTCCGAGTTAGCCCTGTAAGCTCAAATGCGCAATCATCGTGACATTTTTTCAACACATCAATCATCCTGTGTCTCGAGTTGCAATTGAAAATTTATCAGGAGAAAGAAATGAAATATACGATATGCGATAAGTACTGTTCCAGTTGTTCATAATAGGATATGCTTTACCCCAATAAATCATATGCAGCAAAATCTGAGACGGAATCTCAGGGATTTCAGGGAAATTTATCAATCTTCAGATATTAAATTGTGCCCCAGTTTTATATCCGAATTGAAGTTTTCCAGCTGGACCACAGCTGCAGAGTCAGGCCCGCCCCAGTTGACCTTAAAAATTGCTGGATCAGAGTCTCTCAGCTTAAAATTCAAGGTGAAAACAGCTACAATCTTCAACTGGACCACAGCTGTAAATTCAAACCAACTCTTGCAGGGAAGCAGTTGAAAAGTAACGTCAGGTCCAAATTGGCTCCTAGCTACAATGAATTGAGAATGTGTTTTTTTGTTATTCTTGCCGGGTGTCCATCTACGAAAGCTGGAGCTGGAAGATCTCTGTACTAAATTCTAACATGAAATTTTCAGCTGGAGACAGCCATTAAAACCAGCTGCGATTCAGCTAGCAAATTCCAACTCTTTGCCAGCCGAAAAAGGTTTGAATTAATAGCTTTAGTCCAGTTTGAAAATTTTCGGCAGGGAATACTGAGGAGTGCTGTCGCGCTGACGAGATCCTGATTGCGAAGCTTATCGTTTCCGTTTCGGGCTGAGCTTACAAGCTGCTCGAGGAAATAATGCTTCCTTTAATTGCATAGCAACCACGATAACAGGTCGATAAATTATCCATCATTGCCATCCGGCTTCGGCATCGAAAGCCCAAAGTTTTCATCCCACTATTAGACCATCCCAGGTAATCCACTTATTCGACCAATATTGGCCCGACATTAAGCCAATGCCAGGCCAATATTGGCCCGATACGGTGTGCTACTGGGAATGAGCCTACCAGTGATCGTCAGTCGTTGAGAATCATTATCTGTTACGCGACGAAGGTATAAAAAATAGAAAACATGCACGATCGATCGATCCCGATGACACCGAAGCTCCGCTTTCGATCGGACGTGTCGACGCGCACACTAATCTCGCGACAATCAAACTTTCGAACCACACGTGTCAATGGGGTGGGGGGGAAATAGGCTCGAAATGCCGTGAGGATGGCACGGCACAGCATGGCACAGGAGTGACTGACTCCGATCCTCTTTCGCTCCCTTTCCTCCCTCAGCCCAGAATATCCTCATGTAATATTCCGCTGACGTCACATCCCTATCCCGTGGGGAAACGAACTGATTCGAGGCCCTGTCAGCTTCTCATAACTCCACGCCCACTACCACCGACTCTAAGAAAAGTGAAGGGGAATCGGGTTCTCGAAAAGTAGAGCCCTTGATGGACGCCTTTAGATCGCCGATCGATGAAGGAAAACTGAGGAAAATTTGAGTCGATCTTCTCGTCGACGTTCAATTCATCCTGGCGATCGAGGGGAATCCGCAGGGAATATCCCAGACTCTCCTGTGGGGAAGGAGAGAAAGAAGAGGGAGATAATAATAGCTCCTCTATCGTGCAGAGAATGAAATTCCCCGAAGAGAGCCGGTATTTTAAGCAGGCGATGACGATGTGACGGCGTTACAGTTCACAGCCCCCTCGGCATCACTAGCAACAGCTGTTCCTTCGAGCGGGGTGAGTGCGACACTGGTAGGAACGCGAATGGAAAGTGAAGGGATGGACTGCGATGGACACGCCTGGGACCTCATTCTCTTAGTGCAGCACCCAATACATCACAAGGAATTGTGTTTATGTGGATGAAAGCATGAAACTTGGCTGAGGGATTGCTCAGACATAGATTATCAATCTCAGATTGTCAATATATTCATAGAATATATTGACATTGAAGCTCACATTTAAGGTCATAAAGATCAAATAATGTCAAAATATATTTTAATAATGATATAAATTTGATCTGTTGCGATGAGACGATACCATACGGAAGACGGATCTTGCTGAGTCACTCTCAATATAAATAATGATTTGAGAAGAGAAAGAGGAAGAGAAAATTCTGTGAAGCCGAGCTCTTCTTGAGTTTTTTTTTCTGTTTCCTTCCTTCACTCGAGTTTTTGGGTGGTTGGAGCCCAGAGAGAGACGAGCGCGGAAAAAACATGAAAATGAGAAACGTCCCGAAATCGACAGGAATGTGAAGCGGGAAACTTCCTCGAGCCATTTCTCCCACTTTAGTCATTCCAACACGTGGGACCTGCGGAAATAGACCTCGCACTGGACACGTTTCCCCGAATGCAAGTGGACCGAGATTCGTCAAGAGAAGTCCTTTCCTTCGATAAGTCGCAAGGATGATGGGGAAAACCAAAGTTTCCCTTCATCCTTAAGGTCGAGCTCGCAATTTCCATATCCGAGCGCGGGGGTGAAAACGGCACGTCCTATAACACGATTCCAGCATGTCGCACGTTGTGAAACCGATGGCTTAACACTATGTATGGCATACTTGCGTAGTAGGAGCATCAGGAATCTGGTCCTGCAACTCTTACCCCGTTATGTCTGCTTTCCACTGCCGACTGGAAGGACGAGACGTGGGCGAATGAGGCGGATTCGTGGAGGGCCCTCGACAAGCCTTGGCGCTCTGCTACCCCCGTCACGATCTCGCCCACGCAGATACCTGCCTGTCGATGCACCGAATGAAGCGTGCTTCGTGGAGTCAAGCAACTTTTCTTGAAAAGCCTTTCTGATCCAAAATAACAGTAGGATCACGATCTTAGCACTTCTCTGCCCCGGCAAACTTAAAAAAAGGTTCTTTTATTATTACCTGGTGGTGTGCCCTGTAGACTTGATTTTATCAAAATCATGTTGAGTTAGTCACAGTAATTTTTTTGTGCGTATAGAAGTCAAGGCAAGTAGCGCTGAAAGCAAAATGATTATCCAGCGCCACTTGCATTCAAGTCGACACATTTACTTGAAAGGGAATATTTGCTCTTTGTAAATGATCATTCTGTGAAGAGGTGTTCGTCGGTGTTCTTTGGTTGGTATTTGTGACATGAAAATACACAATATTACTATTTGAGGTAAATGTTAAATAGTGATAGGATACATTTATATAGAGAAGTAAATCATAACAGCAAAGCTTTTATTTGTGAAGTTCAGTTCTTGAGTATGCTGGATATAAAATTGGAGCCATTTTGATAGAAATTTGGTAACGCATTAGTGCTTTCATTATATGTATAATTATATGTATATTTCATTATATTTCACTATATATATATAGATTGAATTAAAGTAAAACAGTGATGCCTTCCCTAGCAATAGCCACCCAAGGTAACAGGCAGGCTATGACCGGCTCCTAGCCCAGAAGAAGAGGACATACAGCAATTAATCTATGGCAAAACAGCCCGCAGAAATGGGACGAGGCTAAATGTGTATTGAACTGAATGCACGAGGCGCCGTGGAACCAGCGCCATGTGTATTGAAATCAATGCATGCAGCAGTGAACGTGTTAATCTTCACGAGAGAAAAGGCCTTCAAGTTTGTTCTGCAAGTCGCGATACTGCCTGACTGCCTGCCTCGACCGTTCTTGCATAATTTTAGTGATATGTGAAGGCAGTTCTCTCCCCCTAAAGGAGCGAAGAATCTTTCCGGAAGCCTAGGTCCCTGGCATTTCCTTTCGTAAGTGTCACCAGATAAGCAAAAAAGCACCATGTGACTCCGCTCTCTTCGGTTTTTTTTTTTCAATCCTTTCCCTCTCGTCGAAATCTCGAAGCGCAATTCGAAGCGCGATAGGGCTTGCTCAAAATCCTATGGGGGGTTCCGCATCATGCCTCCTGGGCCGGAATGACCAGTCGCAGCTCCCCGTCCGATTCAACGTCCGATGAGCGGGCTCTTCGCAACAAAGGATACATTCTAGGCAGGAAACTCGGTGAGTTATTCGGGATTCCTCCGCAAGAATGCATCATAGGCCGATGACGTTGACGGATAACATGAAAATCACTGCTGTGATTGAAGTGAAATCGGCAAATCGTTGATTTAAAATACAGTAAATGTGAAGTCAGCAAGACCTGCAGTCTTCTCCAGTCTAAATCGTGATCTGGCTCATTCACGAGTCCATTTCCAGTCCATGTACGCGGGAAGTGGCTCGCGGATTCATTTTTGACCAAAGGAGGATGGGGGACAATTAGGTTCACGACCGAATCAATTCCATGCCACATCTGGCTATCATCGAACCGGAAGAATCGAGGTCAAGGCAAGTACCGAAAATATTGAAAACCTGGTCGTGAATTGAATTCCGATGGTCGAACCTCGGAATGGAATTGCATCTGTTGAAATAATGAATCAAACGAGGTCCCTCGTTGGTGAAAGGCAGCCCATCACTGGTCTGGACTTGCCCAGCGTCTTTTCTTGCCCATCGTTCGACCTTTTCAGCTATCGCGAAGGAGTGGATAGTAACTACGAGTCTCCAGTTTCCCTCTCGAGGACACAGCTACGACCTCGTTCGTGTCGCGTTTCGTATCCAAGCGTACGCCCACGTGGACCAAGTAGAGATATCCGCTGGTTCGGGAATCGAGGAGTTTCCCCCTTCCCCCTTTCGTAGGCGAGGGATCTTACGCGAAGGTTCGATCGTGCGAATATGTGGCGGACGGGAAGACGGAGACTCTGGCCTGCAAGATCGTCGATCGAAGCAGAGCGCCGTCGGATTTCCTCGATCGGTTCTTCCCTCGGGAACTCGAAATCATGACCGCCTTGGACCATCCGAACGTGATCCGCGTGCATAGCATCCTGGAGAGGCAGGAGAAAGTGTTCATCTTCATGCAGCACGCGGAGAACGGCGACCTGTTGGAATACATCAAAGCCAGAGGTGTCATTAAGGAACAGCTGGCGAAAATCTGGTTCCGTCAGCTTCATTCCGGCCTCTCCTATCTGCATGCCAAGGACGTCGCTCATAGGTCCGTTTCCTCCTCTTTCACCTATCTCAAAAGTAAAAAAAAAAAGAATGTTTACTAGTATATTCGATCTCCCGATGAGATCGACCACTCGACAGTGCTGACAAAATAATGCAAGCCCAACAGGGTTTCACAAAAGCAAGAAGCCGAGGAGAGCAACAAAAGAATCCACTAGTGATCGAGGAAGCAGAAAAATTCATCTGTACCTGGAAATGAAGCTAGAGAATGGAACAATAGCCATTTAGTAATCACTGGCAAGGACACATTATTTCAGGTTGAGTTTTGAAAAGAGTATGTGTATGAAGCGCGATGAAGCGAAATCCCAGCACTCAGGAATAGATTCCGGTCTAATTTGCCCTTTCTATAATGGGTAGTGTTTCCCTCCCTCTGCCACAAGATATGGCCTCACGACATCATGGATGCGTTCCAGAGACCTCAAGTGCGAGAACATCTTGTTGACGAGGAATTGGAACGTGAAGCTGGCGGACTTCGGCTTCGCTCGATCCGTGGTGGACGAGAACGGGAAGAGGACCTTGAGCGACACCTACTGCGGCTCTGCGGCCTATGCCGCCCCCGAGGTCATCCGCGGGGCGCCTTACAACCCGAAGATGGCCGACGTCTGGTCCCTCGGCGTCGTCCTCTTCATCTCGGTCAACGCCGCCATGCCCTTCGACGACTCCAATCTCAAGCGGATGCTGAAGGACCAAAACGATCGCAACTATTCGTTCCGGTCCCGAATCCGCGACGAGCCGAGCCCCCAGTTGAAGGCGCTGATCGGACGGATCCTGGAACCGGACGTCACGCGAAGATTCACCATGGATCGCATCTCTCGCCACGATTGGTTCTCGAGTGCAGATGCCGATGCGCATGCGATGGCATCGGCTCATCCCACTTACGATCCTGCTTCCCGTGCCCTACAATCCCCCGTCCTTTTCGAAGGTCATTCGAATCTCGTGCTCACTTCCCATGCCTTCTTTCCTTTTATCGGAAATTATGCTATCTGTTGAATGAGTTGGGTCCAATGGACTCGGACACAAAAATTTAGTCATTCGTGCAGGCTGCGCCGTAATGTTAAGTTCGATAATTCAATGTCTTTTCACGAAGACATGTGGCCTCGTATTTCGAAGAGATTTTTGGGGAGGAATGAAGAGATAAAACAAAGAATTAAACATTTGACCATCCGAGTTCTGGTAGTTATAAGATCAAAGTAAGAAAATTGAGGGGGGAGGGAGTGTCTCCCCGATTCCCTCCTCTTGACTGGAAACTGATTTGCTTATCCTCCTTGAATTAACCCTTTCGTGGACGATGTCCACTTATGTGGACGGCTATGATGTTGGTTTTTCAGCCACAATACACATGCCTCGAAACTTTTGATGCATGCAGTCCACTCCAGGGCACATCATCTGTTCAGTGTTACCTCCCAACGGTGGAACATACGACTACTGCGGCAGAGAACCAACTTAAACATTAAACCAAAAGAAAAGCATCTTTTTGTTTTGCTTTAAAAATTATTGCACGAAAGGTTAAATGATTGAATGGACCAGGGTGTCGTGGGGAAATTCTTCTCCCCCTCTCCTAGAATGCATACGTATTCTCTGTTGCAGAAGTCCCCCAATGAGGTAAGATTACATCTTTTCATTTATACCCTTTCCAGTTCAATTTTTTTAACGTACTGGCTGACTTCTGGCGCAATTTAACACGTGATTTTGTATAATTACTGAATCGGAAATGCACGAGAAAAAGTTGCGAGAATGAAAGCACGTGTCCTTCCAAACTAGGCTTCTTTTTAAAGGCGTTTTCGTCTGCTCGGCGATATCCTCTCGTATGTGTGTATTTTTACTGCATGATTGTACGATAGGTACTTTTGTAGGGTACGGAAAAGGACGGGGTGAATGTTGTTGTTGTTGTTGAGGAGGCGGAGGGCAGTCGCCGAAGGTGGGTGGCCATCGAGTTCCGCTGCTCCCGAAGGATTCCCGACTCAGCCTGGAGCCGGGGACGAAGGCGAAGATGGAAAAACGGCATGAGGATGATCTCTCGGGATGATCTCGATGTGTCTCATACGGGTTTCCCGTCCCCGATGCCTCATTTGCTCAGTGACCTTCCTTAGCCTCCTTCGGCTTTCGCTTTCTCTCTGTCGGTCTTCCACACTCGAAATCGAAAATGGATTATGCTTTATTGGCTTTTTTCCCCTCTCTCCTTTCTCACTCGGTGACTGATCGAGTCAGTATGACACGTCTCACGGGGATCGGCGAGTCTTCACGAACACCTTCCTTTAATCCAGGGCTTCCCAGCCCTTGGGTCGTCAAGATCATATTTGGGGTAGCGAACCGGCAACTAAATGCCAAGTTATGTTTTTCTTGCGATTTTAGTGCATAGGTGGGAGAGCCTGTCGAACTTGAGCCAGTGTTTGGGGTCCCGAATGGAGCCCCGATCGTGATTTTTGGGGTCGCGCATGAAAAAGCTTGGGGAGCCTTGCTTTAACCCCTTCACCCTAGCTAAGATGTATGTATCACTATCTAAAAACCCTTACCGCAGGATATTCATCGTTGAATTTTCTGTCTGTGAGGAGAGAATCGAAAATCATCGGAAAGAGCTAAAAATTCCCCTAGCAAGAGTTTCCCTTTCTCTTTCGTCCTTCGTTTGTACGGCAGTGATTCGTGCGAATGCGGTATCTTGACTGAAGGAACAGATGCTCACCAAACATTCTTTGTGATCAACTGTTATTCATGAGGAGAGCCACGGTACATAAATACGAATGTCTGCACACAGAGATGTGGAGAAAGTGGCGGAATGCATTGCGTAAAATTTAAGAAACAGGTTGGGCAGTCGTGTCATTTGGGACTTGCGAGGCGTCGGGGCAGACGATTCCCGGACAGCATTTGGGGTAAGGAAGCCGAGGATCCTCGTCCGAAACGTGACACGGATCTAATGCACCCACGGACCCGCATCTGCAATCCGCAGAATCGGGGTTGGATGAAATAGGCAGTGAAAGCTACTTCAAATAGCAATTAGTTGCAGAGGTACAACTTAACCAGCAATCGAAATAATGAAGCTCCTGAAAGTATGAAATGATACTGAAAATAGTACTAATTACTTTTTCAAGAACAGCATGTAAGCAATGCAGCACTCAGCTGGTATTGGAGTCTTCCTTCTGGTAAGGTTGTTGCAAGATGTTCCCTAGTCGCTGAGTAAATTTTTTCCTGGTTCCTATTTAGTCCTTACCATACGATGTGGAGAATGGAATGTAAATCCATTATTCCCACCCAATTTCTCCTTTCACGCATATATTTAGGCAGGACTCACCCGGCATACTCGAGCACGAAAGCAGCTTTCCCATCAGGCATGGTGGTCGGACCCCAACAGCGGATCCTCACGCATTCATCTCTCGGTTTCCAAGACTCTTGGAAACGCAACGCCTTTCCGTGCTCCTTCACGTAACACTTCCCTTTGTAATCTACAAAATGTCACAATTCATATTGAACGTTGTTCCTGCTTCAGGAAAGCACTTCCGGGAGCCACTCCCAACGTCCGGATGAGACTCACCTGGGTGTTGAGGCTGGATTTCGAAAGCGACCCATCCGAAGACCGAATGGAGGGTGAGGGTACTCGAGAGCAACAGCAAACGAAGCATCATCATTCCGACCGACTCGAAGGAAAATTTCTCCTACCCTGACTGCCTTGGCTTTATAAAGGAACCGACACGCAGATGCGGAAATTGTTTCTGCCCGCTGCGAGAAAAATCGGAACCCGTCTTCAGCCGATTCTGCTGGTCCACTACGTCGTTCCGAGACGGTGTAAACTAGATGGAATAGCAAGGATTGAGTGAAACAAGGATACAGGTAAGGCGACGTAGTAGGATGGGATGGGATAAGGCCCGCATTTTTCTCCTTTCTTTTCGCCTCGATTTCCCAACTCTCGTCCACATAGATGCACCCTGATTTCCCATTTTAGTGCATCCATCGAAGAACGGGCACGAGAGAAGGGAAAGAGGAATCAATCGTGTAAATGGGAACAAGGGCCCTATGAACAAACTTTGACTAATGCAAACACCATGCTTAGTCGGCTTTAATGCCGATTTGAAAATATTTGTCTTCTCTCTCTCTCTTTCTCCCTGTGCAGCCCTTTTCCGTCCTCTTTTTATGGAGAGAAATCGGTCGCCAGAAAACTCCAGGAAGTGTGCTCGTATTGTGGAAAAATATGAGATCCGGAGACGCGAGGAAATGGAGAGGGGAAATTTCTTCCTTCCTTCCTTTCCTTTCCAGAACACGGACAGACTCAAAGTCAAAGTCAACCGTGCATATAACTAATTCTTCACCTGATCTTTTCCTTAATTTTCTCTTGACCCTGCCCCCTCTCTGCATGCCTGCTCCTTGTCCTTCCTCCGATCATCCCCGCCTTTTCTGTCTCTTCTTTTCCTCTTCATTTTCCTATTTTATTTTTTCTTCCCGTTCCTCTACTGTCCCCTGCAAGGAAGAAGATGCCTAATGGATGCTGGGGAAGATGCAGGAAAAGATGGGAACAAGGAGAACATAGAGAGGTGGGGGAGCCTGAACATAAACCTGCGTTTATGTTCAGGTTCCGAGTTCCTCCTTTTCTATTGTCCCGAGTTCCTCCATTCCTACCGGATGCGAGAGTGCGAGAGTCCCATCATTCCATGAGAGTAAGAGTCACATTTCCTGGTTTGGATCCTCCACTCCCAACATTGGTTCCTCCAGGACCGGTATATGGGGGGGGGTATATTGCAGTTAGTAGTGCTCATGATTGCGGTGGCAGTGTTGTTAGTAGTACCAACGCCTTCAAAATCACAGTGCAGGAGAGTGTGCGACACCTGGGCGATACGAGTAGAAGTAAGCAAAATGGGAATGGAGAAAAAATCTCCAACCGCGTGTCCTATTCAAGTCTCTACTCCTCTCATTATTTGCTAGCCTACCGTGTCAAACTTTGCCCAAATTTTTCCAAAACTCACCGATGTGTTAGGCTTGACATCTATTTGGTTTTGAAGAAATTCAAGGCTCCTCCCCCCCCCCCCCCCGCAATTCTTTTCCAGCGCCCCTAGGCAGATGTCCTCCCTTGCTACTCCTTATTTACGACCCTGCACCCTAGGTAAGTGTCCTCATCTAGAATTTCACGTCAAAGGTAACGGAGACTGAATTGCACGACAGTGGAGCGCTAAGATGAGCTGTACGAGGCATAACGATGCACGTCAACCGTAGTTTCTGCTTTCTAGCCACATCCGTTCCACTCTTGTCATGTATTATAGACATGGACCCGAATGCTAAAATCTCCTTTAGTTAACAGTCCTTTAAGAATACATGGACTTCAATGGGAGAAAAAAAGCTATTTAGCTTAAAGGCCCCTTCATCTCCTCCAAATGAGGTTTGTGCATTCGGGCGATATTGTTTAGCTCCTCTGAAAAAAGGTCTAGGGTGGATTGCATAAAACTGACTTTAGCGTAATAAAGCTTTAAACCTCCTTTAGCGGTGCTATTGGAAGTTTAAAGCTTCATAACGCTAAAGTCAATTTTATGCCATCCACCCTTCATTAGTCATGTACATGTACTGTCACCCCTTTGGAGGCCTCCGCCTTTGCTAATGCCCATGTTATATAATACGTGGAAAGGCGCGCGATGGACCCAGGTTTATCCCTATCCCTTAAGAGTTTTCCAATCCATTTTCTTTCTTTTTTTATCGAGTCAAGGCACGAGATACCTAATGATGGCACCCTCTCATGGGCAAGTAGTTCTATGTCATCGAGGGAATTACATCATGAAATCATGTTGGACTCGAGAAACTATTCTTATAAAAGTATTTGAAATCACGAAAAATCACATCCGAAATATCGACCCCATTGGAACTCGATGTCTGAAATGTGTTGGCTTTCTCGTTCTTTTTTTTTCTCTCTCTCGCTCGGTGACTGGTAACGATTCGTTCATGCTGGCTCACGTCTCACAGGTACTAGTAAGCTCGACGAGCATCTTCCTTCTGCCTCTTTATGACCGCAGATGTTTCTGGCAGTGTAATTTCATCATAGAATTTTCAGACAGGAAAGATAATTCAAGAAAGAGCCGCAAATTACTCTGAAAAGACTTTCCTTGACACTTTTCACCCTCCATTTAGACGGTCATGATTGAACCTGCAACTGAAAGGACGTCCACTAACAAAAAACTCCACAGTATGCCACAATGTTACTTTTTTATAATGTACAATATTCAAGTACTTGCACACTCAGTGGGAACGTGAGACAAATAAACGGTGGAATGTGATATGTAAAAAATAAGAAGCGCTCTGTCGCATGGGACTCTTGAGAGACCAGGACAGAAGATCCCAAGTCGGCACTCGGGGAATGAAAGAAGGGAACCGACGGTCTTCATGGGCAGACGATTTGAGGGCAGCATTCCGGATAGGAGAGCCGAGGGTTCTCGCTCGTCACATAGCAAGGACTCATCGCTGACACAGCTCCACATCTGTAATCGGCAAGATGAGGGTTGCGTAAGAGTCGGGAAAAACTATTTCAAATAGGTAATACTTAAGGAAGTACTATTTAACGGTAAGCACAGATTGTAAGTCGCATAAAATAATAACATGAGAAGTGAAAAACGCAAATTATATTTTGAAAATAGTACTTGAATGCGCTCATCGCCATAAAAGCAACACCAAAAAGAGCTGAGCGATCTTGATAAAATTTGCATCACAAGCTTGTAGTAGTGTCATGAAACCTGTTAGAATTTCAAGAGTTTAGAAGTAATTATCAGAGAAAACTTCTCGAACACTTACATTTAAAGGGCACGAGGGGGTCTTACTAATCGTGCAAAATGGTTTCTTGGGGTTTTATTAATAAAACGTGGAGGAGGAGCTCTTAGAGATGAATAAGAAAATCGAGGATAATTTTAAGGCGATAGGATGAGGCAATTCAGAGAAAACGTGCCGAACGCTAGAGGAATGAAAGAAGAGGTTAGTCCTTTCTTTCTCCCTCAAGCCTTTTCACTAGTGGACCATTGTTGAGCGTCCAACTGCGAAGCATTGCCGAGATGAAATCACCGAATACATTTTCAAAGAGTTGTTCGAGTGATCGATGGAATGTAAGCCTCGTATCAGGCTTATGCGCCAAGCAGATGCGTGCATCCCCATCAGCCGAAGTCGGTCTAACGCTAGATTTAGTTGGTAAAGTTGCCTTCAGTGACATTCCCTAAGCATGTCTTTGTAGTCAGGCACTCGACAATGGCCCAAAAGCGAAGAAGCTAGAGGGAAAATAGAGAAGGGAAATGGAAGGAAGGAAAGGAAAATCAATTGAACCAACTGTTTTCCCCCATTACTCTTACGTTTGGCAAGCTTTCTCTGAATCGCCTTATCCTCTGACTGAAACATTGCTCGATCATCCGACCCATCATTAAGAGACTCATTTCGCATTTCATCAATAAATTCCTTCTGGGTGACCATTATGGGAGATCAGAATGACCGTTGACCCTGACCGTTTTGCTCCAATTCGGAGCGTCTGGCAAATTTTATACATGAATATTATCAAACGCTCTTGAAACCCTCTTGATCGTTTTCGCAACCTATTGTACTACTATGAACTTGTGTATCAAATTTCATTAGGATTACTCAAATTGCTGTTCATTAGGATTGCTGTGTGTGGACTTTTTTTTGCCGATGAGTATAACACAGTCAATACTCACAGAAGAGAACAGCAAATAAAGAATACGACACTGGGCTAATATCGTGGCCTTTGCGCTCTAACTCGAATGTTGCCCATAGCTTCCCATATGTGTATGATCACAAAATTCAGCATATACGACTTTTACCCTTGCTATTTGCAGAATAGAATGGGAGCATTACATTTTCAGGGATGCTTGATGAACCTATTTTCTATTTTACACAATTTTAAAAATAGTATCTAGCGGAAAATGCACGTTCGAAGCAGAAGCTGGATGCAGTCTCCACTATTGTATCCTAAACAAACCGTAAAGAAAAAGCATATTTAAAATATTTAATCAAAATATTTAAAACTGAAATGGTCTCACATGGTGTAGGCAATTCTAAACGTGGAGCATTTTCACCACAATACTCTTCCCATCCCAAGCACGGATACGGACTTTGACTCACCCGACATACTCGAGCGAGAAGGCAGCCTTCCCGTCAGGCATGGTGGTCGGACCCGAACAGCGGATCTCCATGCATTCATCACTTGGCTTCCAAGACTCCTGGAAACTCAGTGCCTTTCGGTAATTCTTCAGGTAACATTTCCCTCCGTAATCTACAAAGCGTCGCAATCCATACTAAATGACACTGCTTCAGGAGAGCACTTTCAGGAGCGACTCTTCGATATCGTGAATTTGACTTACCTGGGTGCTGAGGTTGCATTTCGAAAGCGACCCATCCGAAGGCTGAATAGAGAGTCAGGGCACTCAAGAGCAACGGCAAACGAAACATCATTCTGACTGACTTGAGGAATTTCTCCTTCTCTTGTTGTCCCGGCTTTATAAAGGAGCCAATACGCGGATACGGAAATTGTTTTCCCCTATGCGATAAAGCCTGGGGACATCGCTCTTCTCTCGACTCCGTTGGCCAACTGCGTCTTTTCATGATATCGTCGACTTCAAAGAAGACTAAAAAAAAAAAAGACTTCAAAGCTGCGTATACCGACAACATACAGTAAAGCAAGGAAGAGTCCGACAGGACGGAAAAAAAGGAAGTCCATTTCCTTCTTTTCCCCTAAGAGCCGAGCCTGGGTTTTCCAACCCAAGTTCCCATCTATACACCCTGATTTCCCATTCCGCCGACGAATGAGTATCAGAGAAGGAAAAGAGGAATCAATAAGTAAAGGGGAACAGAGGCCCTTAGAACAAACCTTGACTCAATGCAAACACCATGCTTAGTCATGTCTCATGCCAATTCGACAATGTTTGTCTTCTGCCCCTTCCTCTTATTCAGCCCCTTTCCGTCCTCTCTCCATTGGAGAGAAATAGGTTGCGAGATAAATCCAGGAAGTCTGTTCATAATGTGGAAAAATATTAAATCTGTATGCGCAAGGAAATGGAGAGAGAAAATTCCTTCCTTCCTTCATAACCCTTTCCTTTCTTGAACACGGATGGACTAAAAGTCAAAGGCAACCATGCATTGTGAGATTTGTAATAGAAGGTAAGGTGCACTCGTAGTTGAAAGATGGGAGATGACAAGACAGGGAGACAACTACTGAATACGGAGGCAAACTACGAACAACTAATTCTTTACCTGGTCCACTCCATCGCATTGCTATTTGCTCTATCTCCTCATCTCTTTGCCTTCTTTAGACTTTTCTTCATCTTCCTATTTTAGCTCTTTTCCTGCTCCTCTTTTTCTCATTCTTCGTCCTGCTCTTCTCGCTTTTTCTTCGCAGGTCTCACTTACCATGATGTCTCCTGCAAAGATGCCGCCGGGGATGCCTGAGGAGCAGATGCAGAAAGGGTGCTTGGAGTCTGTGGAATGAAAATGAAGGTAAATGAAGGGGGTCTGCAAATCACCCGAAACAAATACCAAGAAGGTATTCTGTGATGAAATGAGGAATAAGAACTCTCAAAAGTCCGTTAAAAAAAATTAAGGAAGTTTTACGATCAGGATGAGGCGAAACTAAGTTGCGAAACAACACCTAATTTTAATTTGCTACACAAGCTCGCAGCAGTGAATCATGGAATCGATTAGTGTTTTAAGGGCATACAATGTAGATTTAAAGAAAAATTTTGCCAAAGATTCCAATTTAAATGCGGGTGGGGGAAGGATGTCGTACTAATTGCCTAATATGGCCATTCAGTACGAGTATTTCGATAAAACTCTTGAAGAGTATGAAAATCGGAGGATGAGACGATGCAAAGAAAACTTGCCAAACGATAGAAGAAAAGAGAGAAAAGGCTTCACTGTTAATACCAGTTTCCTTCAATCCCCATCGCTGTTATGTCAATGTTGAATGCCTTTCTGCGAAGACATGCCAAGATGAAGTTTCCGAAGGATCTTTCACATGTTCGAGCGTTTCATCGAGGTAGGCCAATTTGCATGCATGCATCAAGCTGATCCGTCAACTCACAGCTAGAGCCACCATACTGTTGGTAGGGCCTCTGTAGAGAAAGATTCTAAGATGCAATTCGAGATTCAAATGTGTGGGAGACATGTTTTTTTCGCATAAACGGCTCCCAAAGAATTGAGAAAATGTGTTTAAATTTCTCATTTCATTTCCTAACAATTCCTGCTCTTGCCTGTTTATCTACTGGAACACTGTTGAAGTCATCCAGAATGCCTCGCATATGCCGCGCCATCCAGATTTACTTCGTGCTAGTGCTCTGAGGCTATCTCCCAGAAGAATGCTTGTCCATGAAGAAATCCGCTTTTATTTCGCATGAGGCATGGCGAGAAGCTCCTTGCCATGCTGACTGACCATGCAAGACAATCAGCAGACACGCTTCCTGTGACTGTTCATGTCAGAGACGTCCCGAGACCTCGGCAGTTGGCGTACTGCTCACATGCAAGTCGGTATCTCCGTCTCATAAGCACTGATTACAGGAGCTCATGGCACATATATACACATGGCATATGCACATTAACAAAATAATAGCGTCTAATCGCAGCTTTACAATCCAAAAACAATTTATGCCCTGACGTATTTTTGGCTATTACCCGGTGAGACAAAAAAAAACGCGCCGCTCTTTGAGATTCATTGGAGTTCATGAGGTAGAAGATAGCACGGCAATTTTTTTTTGCAACGACTTCTACGTATCCTTGAAACGTCATGCAATTATTGTTGGTTTTTCTCTTTCTTCTTTTTAGCACAGGAACCAAAACGCGAAGGCGACATGAATTTTAATTTTGCGCCAGACGTATCAACAGAAGAGCAGTTGGGAGGCTTGGAACGCAAACACCTCGGCCCAGAGCTCCTCCTTCGCGAAAGGATGGGGTAGGCAGAATTTTGCAAGGATATTCAGGTAAAGGATGAAAGAAATGTAGGTCTATTGTTGAGAGGAACCGTTTCATCCGAGAGGAAGCGAAGGAGTGGAAGACTAAAATGAGCCGGAACTGAAGGAAACTGCGTTTATGTGGAAGAAGTCATTGTTTCTCAAGATGATAATCCTGGGATGCAAAATTATTCTATGCAAATTGCTAGACGTAAGGACGAGTCAGAGATTTTTTCTGAAGTGCAGAGAGAAAAATCCTGAAAATAAACGTCATTCCTCATGGGTGGAACAGTTCCTCCAGTCAGCGTCCAGGGGCGAGTGCAAAAATTAAATTCCAGTTGGTTTTGTGCCATTATTGTGCCAAAACAGCTGGAGATAACAAGGCAAAAATTTTCGAGTGCTCAAAGGATGCGTAGATGTGTGTATGAAAGGAATTTCATAGTTCTTGCTGCTGCTTCAGAGGCGTCACAATATTTCAAAGAGCGGCGCCTTTTTTTTTTTTAGCTCGCCCGGTATTTGAAGGATATTCCAGGAAACGCTACGACAGGGGGGTGGACCTTTCTTAGATTCCGTATGATCATGCGGACTCTTCCTTGAGAAATCCAAGCATTCTCCAGGGATGACACTTCTTCGGCGATGAAGGCGCCATCTCACTTCGGTTTCGGAAACCTTGCTTCTTCGAGTAACTGTCAGATGGCTTGCCTGCTGCTTCTTTTTTCCACTCGTATTTTTTATTATTATCTGAAACTCTTCGCCTTATGCACTGATAGGGTCGAGCATATAAACATTTTCTAATTTTCTATTTTTTTTTTGGTCGAGAATCTAATACCGCCAAGTAAACCTGTGGTCGCAATCGGACACTTTGTGGCACACTTGAAGTTTTTCGCAAAATGAGGAAAACGGTTTGTCGGAGAAAGTTTTGCCACATGAAAAGGGTAAAGGCTAAATGCTATTTAACACATGTCCAAAATCTCACCGCTCAATATTTCAACAGTTTAGCTGCTAAAGCGCAAACGCACATACTCATGTGCCATGTGCTTAATCTTCGTTCAGTAAAACATCGACTCATCTCACTCCAGTTTTAATTAGATGATGCGATACTGTCTTACAGAGGGTGTTCCTCTAAGATTTGGTCCGGAAAAAGATGGACATCAGCAGTTCATGCAGCACTTCATGTTTCCCTGCCCTGCAAGGACTGTCCTGAAAATAATGCGGCAGCAAGTCCAGTGTTGCGAACGCCACAAATGAAGGTAAGGGATGGAAAGGAGGACCGGACGAACGACTCATCGCCCCGAGCCGCGTGATTACGTCGTCCCATTGCCAGGCATCAATATTATAACGATTGCTGCCGTCCAATCTGTCCCTTCGGGGCAATTCTAAGTGGAACACCCTGTAAAGTGCTCTTGCACACCGTGTGCAACGGAGACCTTTCCCATACAAATTTCTACCTCCACGATTCACGTTTTCGCGTTCAAACTAGAAAGTTAGTCGATTTCCTTCTTCCAAGGCTTCTGTCGACTAGGTTTCATGCAGAACGATCAAGTGCTCTCAGAGTTCAAAAGCGTGTTCTTCCAGATCTGCTTTTCCAGTAACGTTGCATGCAATTCACCTTATATTCCGAACTTAGCGAATTGAACAAACGATGTACTAATGGGCCTGTCGCTCTTAGTGAGTGTGACTCTTGGGGTCTCAAACACTAGTCTAGTACTGCCAGGGCTGGAAAATACTTTCAGGAAAGTATTTAGGCAGTCTGAACAAATGAGGCATGTTTACTTAACACATGAGCATACTTTGGGAATAAATAACGCTCAAAAAGTACTCGAGGTACTGAAAATTACACTCAATTGAAACCAGCCAAATGCCAAGATGTCTTATAGAAAAAGTACGGGACCGAATTCGACAGGAGTGGTACCGATGGCCTTGCCTTACTCCGTGGGTATGTCTTTTGGGAGTCTCAAGTACTGAGCTCCTATTTTCTGGCAACATTGAAAAGCCCATTTTGGAAAATACAGAATTGTGTGGACATGAGATCATCGTCCAGCAGACAGTAACGGCAAATGGCAACTGAATTACGTAATATGTGGCCAGAAATGACGTACAACACGACGATTCTTCTCAGCACGAAGCTCCGCATCACCCTAGCAGTTGAAAATCGACAAAGACTGAACATGTGCTGAAAGTATTAAACAAAAAATAATCACCATTGAAAAATGACGAAGCATCTCTAGAAGAAAAGCTGCTGGAAGGACTCCGACAGGTGTGGTCCCTCTCTATGACTGGTTCAGGAATAGGTCGCAAGCACCGAACTAGCACTGGTAGTACTTTGTAGCATATTCAGTGAAGTCCTAAATTTATATAGAGAAATGATATGCTTACTCGTCCCAGCGCAGTGTTGTATCCTGAGGGCCACCTAGAGCAATACTAAACAAATTCTGAAGTACCTAGGAAACCCTACAATCTTGTGGTAAAAGATGCCCTGGAACCGATGAAAACTTCGGGACCGATTCGAAATGTGATGTATTAATTGCCTTCACTGATCCCTCTGGTGTGTTCTTCAGTGCTGTCTGGGCAGTATTTAAATGTAGGACGGTAAAAAAAAATAATCGCAAAAGTATGCGAGGTAAAAGAGCTTTGTGCATAAGAGCCCTCTTCCAATTTCATCACGACGTACAAGACTACGTTTTATTTAGGATTTGACAAATTGGCTGACTCTTCCCTTATATACCTGCTTGCCAAGAAAAACTCAATGAAGCTGTTGGACGTGCATGCATTCCAGAGGGGGCTGGCATATAGAATACAAGACCGAAAAGGCGACAGTTTCAAGGAGCTCTAAAAAAAATAACGATTCGGACTGGAACTTTTAGATTGCTGCACGTCTTCAAAGAGGTTTCCGGTATCTGAGTAAACATTTGAAATGGTTTAACGCTAACTTCCAAAACTATTTGGTATTCCTATTCATAAGAACACCTCGGTAGCTCTTGAACTAAGGAAGGAACTCGACACGAGTGAATGTCTTGTGCTATATAGAACCATTTTCCAGTACCTTTGCTTAATAGTTACTCGTAGGAGTGATCTTGTGAGTGTCCCTGATCATAGCATTCATTATCTGTCTTGTCAGAGTTCTGAGATCCTGGAAGCTCCAAAAAAAAATTCAGATCGTGTTCGCTTGGTTCCACGAAAATGGTTCGATAAAAGTTTCAATGAAGAACAAAAAACGGTTCCAATCCGAAACATTATTTCTTAGTGTTCAGAGCGCACACAATTTTCTTTCCATTGAGCCCTTCTGTTCTCGACATCTTATCCGTAATTTCATAGGGTAATTCTCCCCCTTAAGTGAATGCATGAGGAATAATGAGATCGTGTGAAAGAGTCTCACGAATTAGAGCATGCTCATGGAAGAGCTCTCAGCATGACTAGTGAAAATACGGATCGGGATTCCCACAACCGGTTCTCGTCTCCATACTTTTATTCTTGCCGACTCTATGGCGCCATGCACCACGTTTGGCAAGGCCATCGAAAATCGACACTTTTTCACCGTATCGTCAAACGATGCAGGACTCCCCTCTCGACGAAGGAAGTCGACGCATACGTATTCGTCGATGAAAGGAAATTTCCAAAAATATGAAAATGCTCGCTTGTCCCGGGGACTATAGAGACTAATCTGGGCACACGACGCAGAAAAGGATCCGTACGTTGTGTATTCTTCTAAGGCTTGAGCGCGCGGCATCCTTCCCGTTTTCAACGAACCCCTTCAACATCGTGTCCCATTCTCCTGCTCTTTTCCTCGTCTTCGAAATTCAGCGCCACATTTTTTGTGATCAGCAGAGTACATCCTCAATACCTGTCACATACAGTATGCACATCAGGCCGAGAGTTACCCAAAAAATGGAATTTTCGAATAATTCATGTTTTTAAGTCCATGTGATGCAGCACAATCAGACGAGGACAGGCTTGATGAAATTTATGGGCGGTTCCAAAGTCTCTGATGTAACACCAGATTCAAAATGGAACCATGTATGGTGTTATATCTTAAAGATGGTTTGGTTCAGAAATTCTGCTTCAACGGTGTCATATAGAGCAAAGATACCTTTACTTATTCCGGTCAAAATTTTCTCATTTCTCTCATGGATGAAAAAAAAAAGAAGTCCATTCA